CCACCCCGCCAGCCCCGCGCCAGGCTTGCCAGCCTCGCTGGGGACATGCTGGGGACACTGGCCTGGTGGCTCGGGGCAATGGACACGGTGCTGCCCACACAGCCCACGGGAGGATGTTCTGCACCCAGAGCCCTGGCCCTGGGTCCGGTAGCCCCATGTCCCACCTGGGTAGCCCCGTTCCCTCCCCTGCCCCAGGCACGGAGGGCTCAGAGGCTGCAGCAGTGCCGGGGTGGAGGAACCTTGTGTGGATGTTGCAAGAGGGGAAACTGAGGCAGGCAGTGACAAAACCGCCTGGTTCAGCCGCGGGCTGGGCTTGGTGCTGCCTTTGAAGCGCAGGGAGTTTCCTCGTGCCCAGGGCCCGTTACCGGCTCTGCTGACGCGCGTCCGTCACCCGAGCGCCCCGGGGGGCGGCTGCCCTCCCCTGCCCCTTGTAGCTGCCGTAGGACTCGGTGCTGGCGATGCCGCCGTGCTTCTTGATCCACTCGTACGCGCGCCACTCCTCGCCGCCGTCGCACGCGTAGTTGCCGAAGCCCCAGGAGCAGTCGATGAGCACTTGCTGGGACAGCGGGGTCAGCACGCCGGTCTGCGGGACAGGGACCCGCTGCAGGGAGCAGCACGCGGCCTCCATCGCGGTGCTCCGCGCGCCGGCCCCGCGCGCACCTTGAGGAACAGGGCACCCTCCATGGCGCCCGTGGTGGCGAAGCTCCAGCAGGACCCGCACACGGCCTGGTCCTTCACAGGGGTCACCGCGCCTGGAACATGGGTTAAGAGCAGCTAAAGGGACACGGATGCCCAGGGGATGCGCCAGGCGCCCGAGAGCACCGTGAACCCGGCTCGGCTGCTGGCTCAGGGCTGCTGGACGTGCCCTGGAGTCCCCTGCCCCGGGGGCTCTGCCTGCTCTGGGGTGAAATCCAGGTGCCCATTGACATCAGGCTGCGCAAGGGCCAAGTGCCACTTGCTCCATGAGCAGAACCGGGACATAGGGACCTCTGGGGACCACAGCACAATGCGTCCCCAGCCCACCGTCAGGGAGCGGGTTGGCCCTTCCGTGTCCCACAGGATGGGATTGAGCCCCCAGGTCACTGTCCCCCTGCCCATGGCATCATGCCCGTCCTCGCAGGTGCTCCAGGAGCATCCTCGGACCATCCGGATCCAGCCCTCCACAGCATCGTGATGCAGCATCATCCTGACCCCCTTGGCCACCTTGTCCCCACGGTGGGTGTCTCGGGGTCCCTGCCTGCCCCCCTTACCGTTCACAGGGAGGTCGAAAACGGAGGCGGGGAAGCTGTTGTCGAAGTGGCTGTAGGAGA